TTTGCATTACATGTGAAGTGGAATATACACGATAACCTTCTGTGGTGAGCCCAACGGAAAGGGGAATCTAACCTATGATCCTTCTACCACTGAGTACATTATATGTTAGCACTGCGGTCAGTGCATGCTGGGAGTAGACTCCAAACCGTGAGCTGATTCTAGGTCACATCTTAGGAAGGCAAACGCTCTATCTTCTGAGTCACTACGGGTCACAAGGAATCATTTTATTTAATAACCGTCTTTGAACGGTCAATCCAATTTTCGACTTTACGACTTCCAATGTTCAACTCCGCTGTTTATCAATGTTTTGAACCCAATACAGGAAACAAGGGAACTCGTGGATCAAATAGTGGAAGAACTTTTGCTTTGGAGGATTTTTAATGATGGAACTAGCTCGCATTTGAGCTACGTGAAGAAGAAAACATCTTACTGTTAACCTGACAGCAAAAAAATTATAATTTATGATCCCTCTACCACTGACACCTAATTCTCTTTAACGAAAAAAATATCCCTTGTGAAAAATAATTAAGTTTGGGAATAAACATTAAAAAAATGTAGGTATTCATACAAAAGCATTTGCAAAGATTTTCATTTTACTAATAACAGGGGGGGGGGGCGAACCCTCAAACATTTTATTTCGAAATACTTGAATAGTCCCAAATATTCCTAATCACGCGTTTAATTACTCTCGCTTTACTTAATGTTGAATTAGTTTTTTATTGAAATTCGAAGGCATTCAAAGAAACTTGCGAATTTTAATAAATAAAATCAGCAAGTGTTTCATTTTTATCATAACTTTTGTTCGCAATTCGCGAAACAAAATTATTTTTCAACCAAGACTTGGACAATACACAAACTTCCAACTTGTAATAAAGTTAATCTCCCGAGCAACAATTTCACCTTAGCTCCAGTTGTTCTAATAATTGGCTCAATATGGGTCCTACATGAATATGCACCTCGGGACCATTATTGGAATGCCTCGATTTTTAATATTGGTCTCATATAGGGCCAATATCGGCCTATATAGAACAAATATAAGGCCTATATTGGCTGAATAATAAATATAAAATATCGGGTGAATCGGCCATTTCTATATGAGGCCGATATCGGAGATATAACGGCTCTATGAACCCTTATTGAGCCAAGATTCGTGAATATTGGTCCAATGAGAGCCCAAGTTGATGTAGGGCTCTTATTTGCATTGTTATACAAAGCCTTGCACAATTAAACTTGCTCAATAAGGTTAGAGATTTATTAACGTAATTAACATAGACTGTGATTAAAATACAAATTCGATTTTTACAATTGAAATTAGAACTTCGGTCGCTTGTTAAAGTTAAAAAAAAAGTTATTGTTTGAGCTATCTATTCCTTTCTTATTATTTGTGTTTTTCTTACCTCTGTTTTAATTATAACTTTTTTTTAAATTTCAAATTTCTTATGCTTTTTTAGTAAATTGTGCTTTTGAAATAAAGTTATAAAATTGATACAAAATATTACAATTTACCCTAAATTGAACAGATTTACGACAAAAATAAAAAATTAAGATTAGAAGATGAAAACAATGGCTGATTGATTGCGAATGAAACTGATTAAATATTTCATTCTTATGACCTTATCCGTAAAAAATTATCAGAAAATTGAAAGAAAAAAAATAAACTTAGATATTAATAAATAACGAGAACAAAATGTAACATTAATATTATTATAGGAATCAGAACAACTGTAACGAAAATATAACACCATTCCGTCTTGCACATTAAAAAAAAAGTTCATAATAATAAAAAAAAATATTAGTATTACAGTGCTGAAAAAAAAGGATAAAGTCACTAAAGAAAATGATAAAACGTAGGAAGAAAGGACTTATGTGGTTTTATTTTACAATACAGTCATCAATTATGACATAATAAAATCAAAAGCAAGATGAAATGAATAGCAAAATACTTTACACATTATGCGTCATAATAAAATTTCAACAGAATGTAAGTTGGAAAAAGTATTCTGTCAGCACAATTTTTACATCAATGTGAGATCCTTTTTTTGTTTTTTTTACGATTACATTTATCAATCTCGCATTCGTGGATCCAGATAGAGTTCGTAAAATGCTGGTATCAATATTGCTCCAAGGCATCTCGATTGCTTCAATCCATTCTGACTCGCTCTTGAATTGTCGGCCGGATCTATGAACGTTTCTGGCCAACGTGCCATAAAGGTTTTCTACCGGATTCAGATCTGGGCAGCAAGATGGCTACTCAAGGGATTTAACCTCATTTGCTTTCCTCCAGGATTTAGTTGAATATGAAGTATGGTCTGCCGCATTATCCTATTGGAACCTATCTATCTCCGGATGTTATAAGAGGAGCAACATGCAAATATAGTATTTCCCAATATATTCTGATACATCATAACTGAATTCATTTTAATTTGTATAATCACAATTGAGGTTGTGCCTCCTGCTGCAAAAGCGGCCCAAATGATAACGGACTCACCACCCAATCGACGTTTTGAAAACAACTGTGGTTCAGTCCAGGCCCGCAGCCAGGGGGGGGGGACCGTCGGGACAAATCCCCCCTCCCCCCCGAAATTCTGGGATTCAAACTTTTTAGTCTTTCTTTGAGCCTCTCAGTAAAAAGAAAAACAAAAACTGTCGAATCAAACCTTTTATTAACTAATTTTATTAAGCATATTTCGGGATATTTCTGGTTTGTCCTAAAAAAGTAATCAAAAATTTTTCTACAAATCCCCGTCGCATGTCTTTGTAAACTTTGTTTACAAATTGATTATAATTATTATGTAATATTAATTTAAAAATAAGTATTATGTAATATTTTTTAACTAGGAGGCTCCGCCCCCTGCTCGCTAACGCTCGCCAACCCCCGAGAATCGCTACGCAATCCTATGTGGCTCACGCAGTGAACCATGGCTCGCTGCGCTCGCTCGCCAATGAACACAATGTTCTAGCACAAAGACATAGTATAAGAGAAATCTAATGATATCTAATAATCTAATCTAATAAATAATCTAATAATGAATTACTCTACCGTGTAAGAGAAATATATATATAGATTACTAGTTCAACTTTTGCAAACAACAGAATGAACAATATTTGTTACAATGTTTTCCCCCTACTTTGCATGTCTGAAACTGTCCTCCGAAAAAATATCCTGGCTACGGCCTTGGTTCAGTCCGTATAAGTCGCACCCAAAATATCGACAGTCGTCTGGTCCATCCCAAATTAAGCTTCTTTTCATCAGAAAGGACCCCATCACTCCAATTCGCGCCTTTCATAAGATGTTTTCTTTGTAATTGCTAAACGAGCCTCTTTGTGTCATTCAGTAATCGGAGGTTTTACTTTCATATTTATAAATCGAATGTTCAGATTATCACTTAAATAATTCCTAACCGTGCGACTGCTGCATGGTAACTGTAGTTCATTTTTAATGTGTGCTGACGACATCTCATCGTGACAACAGCAAAGATTTGTTCTTCTTACCATGATTTTTCTTCTTCTTTCCAATATGCTGTTTGCTGCCCTAGCTTTCTGGTTTCCAGTAGCTTTCCTATTTTTCTTTCAATTTGAAAACCACTCAAGTCCATTTCTTTAAGAGCTAAAATTTTATCTTGTTCTCTTTCCCGAAAATGAGTTTCCCTTGGCATTGTATTGCATGCGTTAAACTGCAAAAAATCTGCATTTTTACAACTCGGATATTCTTCGTGTACTGGTGCAAACCGCTTTTTCCTTATTTTATTCCTGACAATGACGTCATTAGTATCGATTTTATATTTTTTTCCAATTTGCTTTTCTATGATTTAGCCATGATTTAAATAATATGCGGATTAAAAGTAAAATTGTGATGCATAGCAATTAAACTCTACATTTTCAAGTAGAAAATAAATGAGCATATTCAGCCATAACAGTGGTGTTTCATATTTGGCAGCTTTTCGTTTGACTGTATACTTATTTTCCAACACTGTACTCATATTTTATAAATAATATTTTATTTTATAACCGTTGTTGTGTGAATAACCGACCCAAATTAAAGTTTACGGCTACCCATGTTCAACTCCGTAGCCTTGTCATTTTTAACCTAATCCAGAAGACAAGGGAACTCCATAATTAAGAATTGGAGAGATTTTGCTTTCGTGGATGACTTTTAAACCTGCATTTGCGTTACACGACGAGGAAAACGACGAAGCCCTCTCACGGTTAGACTGACGCAAAGGGTCCCATGAACCGTCTACCACTGAGGATATATTTTACACCGGCACTGTGATCGGTGCGAGCCGGGTGTGGAATTCGTATCGATACTGGTAACTTTATTTAGCGAACATCATTTTTATTATTTTAAAAGATAGCGGCTTTGAATTAATATTTATCTATGTCTTTTTTTTTCTTTTATCAATACTTATAATAAAGTTCAATTTTGAACGACAATGAGCATTTGTGAGTGTCACGTTTGTCACGAATGCCTTTCAGCCATAAAATACTAAATAAAAATACCAATTTTTTTATGATTCCCGCTAATGAAGTTCGGATTTAAATATAATTTATTCATGGACAAATAGATATTTTTGCTAGCTAACCAAGAGGAGAAAAGAAGCAGTGAAATCTTTGTAAATGATAAAAATTAAACAAATAAGTGTCATTCAGCTAAAAATATATGTAAAATTCGGAAATGCTTTTTCGAAAAATGTCAAATCTAAATCACTTTTAGAAACATATTTAGAACATATTTTACATTTATTTAAAATATTTTAAAATTTTTTGGAATTTAATTGCAATTGTTATTTTTTTTTTTGTTTCACTTATTGATCACACTAACAACAAATAATTAATATGTATGATATCTGGGTGAATAGTTAATTGAACATTTCCTAATTTGGTAATAGCAGTTGGTCAGTTTAAAAGGCATAATAAAGAAAAACGGTTTTTTGCGAATGGATTGGCTTATGGCGCGACCGATCGTCTACCTCACAGAGTGATGTCATCGAGGTAGATGACGAATTCGAATCCTATTGGTTGAAATGAACTGACAGCCCGGGCTCCTTAGAAAGTTAGCGCTACTTCGACACTTTGGTTTCCGACTCGAGATTCGTTGCACGTCTCGCTGGAAAACCTCCCATATTTCTTTAATTGAATTTATCTTCTTCCTTTCCTCATTCGTAAGTTATTAAATTATTATTTTATATCAATTATTGTCAAAAGCAAGTATTTTTAAATATTTTATCTAAGAAATTTACAATTAATACTCTTTAGGTGTGGTTAACGCCCATTTCCGTTGTAACATTAGTTGAAAGAAAATTTAGTATTTATAATTAATAACCTTTGGTTTTGAACTTTCATTATTTTTGTGAAAATAAAATTAACTTTTAATGTAACTAAAGTAATTTAATTTCTTAAATTAGGTTTCTCTCGTACACTCACTGTTAGATGGCATTCTCAATTGATATCGATTTTAAAATAATTCCAATACGTTTAATAAAATAAGTAAACGCATGATTGTATTCTTGTGTTTAAATGTGTGTTTATGGTCCTTTTAATCTAGGAAAACTATTTTTCTCCTCTTGCTTGATGTGGTTTTTTAAAAATGTGGCAGTTCCGCCATCTTGTTTAAATGCCGGTTTTAGGGTGGAGCGCCGACAATGACCGCTTTTCTAGTAGAAATAATGTTACGGAATTTAATGTTAGAGTAAATAAAAAAATTTAATGTTTTAGGTAATTTCGAAAGGAAGATTTGTTTAAAAGAAACATAATCAGATGTTAAGCTTCATGTGTGTAATTGTTTTATTGGTACCTAAAGATCAAGATCTATAGTTTTCTTCTGCTGATAGAAACATATTTTTTGGTGTATTGAAATAATTTAGTCTCCTATACCCAGGGCTGATTGTGCTCCGGAAAAAATCCGGATTTTTCGCTAACAGTGATCCGGAAGTTTCCGGAGATCAAGGGTCCAGACGTTTCAAAAAATCATTGATCACAGAAGTTTCCGGAAATCAAATTTTAAGTGGAACTTAAAAACACAGTTTATTTTGTTTGTAAGGGAGAGCCAGATACATTTTTTATCAGTAAATAGTTATAATCATAAACTCAGGAAAGTAAGACATATTTGTAAATTTTAATTACTTCTAGAAAAACCTAGTTTAAATTTTTTTTTTTTTTTTAAACTCTGGAAATTTTCCGGAATTTTTACTTAGGCTCACAATCACCCCTGTACACCAGACAGGCTACCAATCCCACAGCATTAGTTGCATCAGTCTTAATTCAATTTCGGATTAATTTATTCGCATTTGAAAGTCTGTTTCTTTGGCCACTCTTAAAGATATCCGAAAGTTGACGCTTGATTTAACTAAAGTAAGAACTGTTGTAAATAATGGCAGTAGTGATTTTAGTGATAATTGATAATACTGAAATAAAAAAAATTCTTTTTTAGAAATACAAAAATTTTTCGGCCATTTTGCAATGGTAGTAAGGACGGGTACAATATCTACCTAATCTTTTTGCATTAGATTTAGTACTAATAAATTGTAATATGTCTTTAAAGGATTTTGTTTGATATTTTTCTTCCTAGATAAAATCTCATCATGCGTGAATGTATCAGTGTACATGTTGGTCAAGCTGGTGTCCAAATTGGTAATGCCTGCTGGGAATTGTACTGTCTTGAGCACGGCATCCAACCTGATGGCCAAATGCCCAGTGACAAGACCATCGGAGGTGGAGACGACTCTTTCAACACTTTCTTCAGTGAAACTGGAGCTGGAAAGCACGTTCCACGAGCAGTCTACGTAGATTTAGAACCGACAGTAGTGGATGAAGTACGTACTGGTACGTATAGACAACTTTTCCACCCTGAACAACTTATCACTGGCAAAGAAGATGCTGCCAACAACTATGCAAGAGGCCATTACACGATAGGAAAAGAGATTGTCGATCTCGTATTAGACCGAATCAGGAAGCTTGCTGATCAATGTACTGGACTTCAAGGCTTCTTGATCTTTCACAGCTTTGGTGGTGGTACTGGCTCAGGCTTCACATCCCTTTTGATGGAAAGGCTGTCAGTCGATTACGGAAAGAAATCTAAGTTGGAGTTTGCAATTTACCCTGCTCCTCAAGTAAGTATTCCATGTTCTTATTATTTATGCATTGTTGAGCATGAATGATTGTTTTTTGTACCATTCTTTTGGATCTAGAAGCAAAGCCTGTAAATTTCCCACATATTCGTAAAACCAGTAGTTCTCTTACCCTTTAATCTAACGAAATTTTTATTTGGTTTGGTCTCGATTCTTACTCGTGCCATTTTAAATGTCAGACATTGATTTTCGTATTGTTATTTCAGTGTTTTCATCTCAGAAAAAAAATGGGTGAGAATTTCTCACCCTTTCTCAAAAACAGGGTGAGATTTCAAAAAGTTAAGTGAGATTTCAAAAATTAAATAAAAAAAAACGCAAAGAGACTTGAAAAAAAAAATAATATCTTTAATTATGATGCATTTTTAACATCTTCTCATTTTTAAAGCATTGAATATTTTTGCTGCATCATCATATGGAAAATGTTCTACATCTACTTTTTCATCAGCTATTCTCATTAGGTTGCTCAAATGCGTATTTGTTTCGTTTTGATCGTTTCTACCCACATTTGTTTCATTTTTATTAATCCGTTTCGGAGTAGAAGATATTGGCTTTACAAGGTATTTGTCCATCTTACATTAACGAGCAAAAAATTTGAACATCTTACATGAAGAAACCTTACCTACGGTGGTTGCAGAGAAATGCGTTCTGAAAGAGGTTCCGTGGTTCGGAAGGATGGTGGTGTTCTGTTGTTCTTAAAGGTTCTGAACAATACTGGTAAATAGGGAAGTTAGATAATGGGGCAGATTTTGAAAATAATAAAAGATCCAGGAAGAAAAATGAAACGGATTTTATTCTAAATGGCGCAAATGAGAAATGTTTTTCAAAATGCGAGATATTCGCGAATTTTGAAATAGGTTTATAGAATGCGCGAATTTCTCGCGGTTATCATTTTTTAATGCGAGAATATAAAAAAATATGCGAGATTCTCGCGTTCTCGCGCTGTAGTGAAAACACTGTATTTGTATTCCTGTTGTACTATCTAACATCAAATTTCATAGTCATGCAAGCTTTCATACGTCACGATTCTTATTGATGGGAATTGAAAATCCTATATCTTAGTTGTATTTACATGATTTTAACACCCAATATTGCAAATCATGTATCCAAGATTTTAAGCTCCGATACTGCTATTCTTGTATAAATTAAGTTTTTTCTTGAATTAGTTGCTATGAAGGTGAAATTCTTTAGTAGATAACTTGAATATAAATTCTAATTCAGAATATGTCATTAAAATTTTCTTTGTTACAATCACCCCTGCTAAATAATTAAATTTCTCTAAATTTTATTAACTAGACTAATATGTACGTTATTCTTTCGCTAAATTGACTATTAATTTGGGGAATTTTATTTTAAAAATTTGGAATTGCATCAGAATCTGCTAATGTGGCGATTCGTGTTAGCAAGATTTTAACATCGAACGTAGATTTTTGTACTTACCTGAATTTTTGTACTTACCTGAATTCATAATTAGCTATTTGCGTTTGTGCAATAAAAAAAAAATTGCAATCCTCATATTTTTATTTGATTTTAGAGGTATACATTGTGGTTCAAGTTCTCACAATCTGAAGATCAATTATTTCGATTCAAATTTTTCAAATCTAGTGTTAAAATTTATTTACATGATTTTAAAGCTCATTATTGTAACTCTTTTTTAAGAACCAATTTTTTAATATATGGTGTCATATTGCATTAGTAGGTAATTTAATTAAAATGTTAGTGTTATAAATTTTATGAGTTTTTATACATATAATTTACAGGGTTTTTCACTGTCTCAAATGTTCCTTTCAGTTACCCAGACACAAGTAAATTGAGAAAATTTTATCTCAATCTGTGGCAGAATAAGTGCTTCATTTCAGCAACTTCCCCATAAAAATATTTCACACTCTGATGGTTTTAATTCTTAACCATCCCTAAGCAAACTTTTTTTTCTTCCGTTCGGCACTCAGTCATTGTAGTAAGCCTGACAGATCATGGTTCAGAAATACCCCCTCTAAATTCAATATTTTCACAAATGTGATGGTCGATAGCTTTTAAAAAAATTAAACTAAACAAAAAGTACAAATTAAACTTAATGCTTAGAACTTAAATGCAGGTATTCTCTATTGTGAAAGATATATTTTTACAATTTTATTTATAATTTAATTTGGGTAAAAGAAAAGTCCCATAGAAGGGATAGTTCCGTAGTGTGATCTTTTGCGCCGACTGCAATCACCAAGCTGCAAGATAGATTTTTAATCTTGTAAATTTGGTGTTTGCTCTATATTTTTGAGTTTCTTATGGGCCACTGTCTGGAAGTTGTCAAGACTTGGCGATTACTCTACTGCAGATCATGATACAGAAATCTTCCCCATGCGTCGTTAGATAGTATACAAGTACACTGTACTTGAATACTTTAGCAGAGATTCTCCAATTTTGCAATTAATTTTTTTATATATAAAAAAAATTATCCATGAAAGCAAATAACTTGCAGATGAAAGATAAAATAAACAGACCATAATTTATGACAAGAAAAAAGTTGTATGTTTGCTGCTACCTAAGGGAATTATTATTATTAAAATTATTATTAAATTCTTAATATGATAATAATTAGTTAACATGAATACAATTCTTTAATTTAATTCATTTTAAACTTGGAAAATTTAAAAAAAAAAAAAGAAATAAGTGTAATGGTTTTGCCCAGGGATTGTGTTTCCACCTCATTATTATTATTACTTTCTTGCAAACCGCTGCTCAGAAATTGCTTCGCCATATTGTGGAATTTCATAATTTGAGTGAAATTTAAAATGACAATTGTATATAAAATTTCACCTTCTTTTTAGGTGTCCACAGCTGTAGTTGAGCCATACAACTCTATCTTGACCACCCACACCACATTAGAACATTCCGATTGTGCTTTCATGGTAGACAATGAAGCTATTTATGACATCTGTCGAAGAAACTTAGATATCGAGCGTCCTACTTACACAAATTTGAACAGATTGATCGGCCAGATCGTATCTTCTATCACAGCTTCTCTGAGGTTCGACGGAGCTTTGAATGTCGATTTAACAGAGTTCCAGACCAATCTTGTACCCTATCCCAGAATCCACTTCCCTCTCGTAACTTATGCTCCGGTTATATCTGCAGAAAAGGCTTACCATGAACAGCTTACTGTTGCTGAAATTACTAATGCTTGCTTTGAGCCTGCTAACCAGATGGTAAAATGTGATCCTAGACATGGCAAATACATGGCTTGCTGCCTTCTCTATAGAGGTGATGTAGTACCAAAAGACGTTAATGCTGCTATTGCTGCCATCAAGACCAAACGCACTATTCAGTTTGTTGATTGGTGTCCAACTGGTTTCAAGGTAACTATTTATTTTGTGGTCACTATTAAAAATTTCTATTCTCTCTACTGCATCTATGCTAGTTATTAACATTTGATTTCGATGTTCTTAATAGTTTTTAGTGTCTCTGTGGCTTGCTAAAGTTATAGATATTAAAACTCCTATTGATTTTTGAGAGCAATTTGCTTAGTCCAGCTGAATTATGACTTTAGGAGGTGAAAATAAAGAATAAAATCATAAACAGAAAGAAAAGCTTTAGAAGCATACAATTTATTTATAGAAATTAAATTTAAAACCTAATCAATTTTCCTGCATCAAAGAACTTAGAAACACTATATGCTTGTTGTGCATTCAGTTCACTGGGTATAAAAAAATTTTAATCAATAAATACTTTGTTTTTTTTTTTCCAAACTGCAATTGCAATCACATGATTTAAATTACATATTGCGATTCATATTCATGTGGTTTAAAAGTATTCGTAGAGGTATTAAAGTTATTTAAAATTGAGATCCATACTTTTTTCCTTGTTAAAATATTGTTCATGAAAATGTGAACAATTAAGTTTCTGTTTGATTTTTTCCAACTCATCCCTGGTTTTGAAATACTTTTTTAAAATAAAAATAAACTTTGGTTCAACTGAAGTAAAGGTTGCGTGGCTTTTAATTCCATGGAGTAACGATACTTACTTGGAGCTTATTTATTCCAAGCTGCAAATAAATTTCAATGGAAAACAAACTGAACTTATAACTTTTCTTAACTTGTTAATTTAACACTAGGATTATGAGGCATGTCATTTTGGTGCATTTCGAATTTTATAAGGAAAATACAAAACTCGTTTGCATTTTTATTTTATCTCTTGTAATGACTTTTATCCATTGATCGAGGTAAATATATTAAAGTCGTATTTTCTTCAAAAGCGTTGAAATATTGGTGTACCTATCTCTACGGATATGCGTCAATCTGATGCGATTATAATTTAGACAAAATTTTGAGTAAACATGCAAACATCATCACATCAATAATAAATAGGAATGTACCGACAATACTTTGATCCAATATCATTATCTCAAATTAAACAAGCAAAAAGCAACTGTTTCATCTCATATTTTCATTTCCCCCCCATTATAGTATGTAATTACATTGCTCTCTAAGTGCAGAGATGCCATCTGTTCCGGACACGCCAAACTAATTTTAAAAAACTGTAGATAACTACTAAGTGAATTTTGCAAACATAAAATTCTGCATTCTATAAATAAGCCTACGGATTATTTAGAAATAGTGGTGGATAAAAATCTACTTAATTGAATTTATTAAACCATGAACTACCACTTTAAAATATATATATTTGCAGTCTGAAGCGAGTTGGCATCTCTGTTAGTGCTGTTATAGGTATTCGTCAAATTGATGTGTGGTTATAGAAATAGGTGTACAAGAAATGTCCGTAAACCTAGTGTTAAATACTGTTATTGTCTGATACTGATCATAGCTCCTAGTGTATTTGAAATTAAGTACATTCTTTTTCCTTTCAATTTTTTTCATTTATTTGAAATCCTTTTTAGGTTGGCATTAACTATCAACCCCCAACTGTTGTACCAGGAGGTGATTTAGCGAAGGTTCAACGTGCTGTCTGCATGCTTTCAAATACCACTGCTATTGCTGAAGCTTGGGCTCGTCTTGACCATAAGTTTGATCTCATGTATGCCAAACGTGCTTTTGTTCATTGGTATGTTGGAGAAGGTATGGAAGAAGGGGAATTTTCTGAGGCCCGTGAAGATTTGGCTGCTTTAGAAAAAGATTACGAAGAAGTCGGAATCGATTCCACCGAAGGGGGAGAAGATGAAGGCGATGAAGAATTCTAAATTTTTATACCATCGATTTTTCTTTTATACTTTAATGTGTTAATTCATTAAAATATTGTTCTGCATTTGTGTTCTTTTTTAAGACAGTCCTCACGTTCTTCTCAAACTGAGGGTTTTTTATTTAAAACAGTTAATTGATTTCAATCAAGGATGTTTTAAAAAAAATTTTTAGGAAATCTATTAAAATTTACGAAGCAATATTTCTCATAGAAATTAAATTAATAGTACATGTATTGCGGGGTTAGTTTCAATCAGCAAAATTTCTTCTCTAAATGCGTATTAGTATGAAATTTTAAAATAGCATTGCAAACATATTTTTGATTCTTAATTCATATCTTTTTTAAAGAAGATATGAAATTAAGCTTCTTAACTGAGCTATTAGCATCAGAGATGATTGGTTTATGTATAAAAATTTTAGTATATTTTATTTAAAAAATATTAGTACTAGAATTTATGCTTGGCATCTCTTTCATTTGTAAATATTTTTTCTGATAGAATAATAAATACAACTAGAGATAAAAGTAAGCTTTAAGACAGGTTCAAATTTCCGAGACCACCTAGCTCCCTTTAATATTAAGTTATAATTTTCAAACTTGGACCGTAGGTAGGCCTCTATGGTCCAATCATGGCCGCTGAACAAAATTTTTATAAATGAATTAGGGTGGTCCCCTAAAGCAGTGTTCCCCAACCCACGGACCGGTCCGCGCATTTTATTGAAACTGAATTTAAATTCCTAGGTTTGTACCCCAAATTAAAAATATCTTCGTTCCATTAAAATTTTATTTATTTTGAAAAATGGCCCCCGCATTTAGTGACATAAATTTTTTAATGTTTGTAATGTATCATTGTTCCCGATTACCCCCAGGTGGAACCGTCTCATTGCAAAGAAACAAGCTCAGGACTCTCATTGATTTAACGTTCTAGTAAGTTAAATCACTATATATATTTTTTGGTGTAACTGTATTTTATTTTGAAGGTATGTTTAAATGCAATTAAATTAAAATTAATAGATTAAAGTAGTCTAAAATATAAACAATCTACTCCCCCAGCGGGCCGCTGTAAGATTATCAAACTTTGACAGGTCTGCGGTGATAAAAAGGTTGGGGAACACTGCCCTAAAGGTCTATTGCGAAGCTGACGAGAAGGGATGTAAAGAATCGAAATATATTAATCTTATTACTAATTGAAAATGTCCTGTGTCTTGTAATCCTAGGATAACGCGGAAAACCTTATATTACGATGAACTGAAGCAGATGGAATTTCTTATTAATTACTGTTAGTGAGGTATCGTTTGACTAATATCCATATTTTAATGGGAAACTTAACAATTTATTAACTTTGACAATTTCTATTCATAATAACCGGAATTATCACTTAAATTTCAACACTTGTACCAATGCGATGCGAACCGTTAGATCATATTTACCAAACTTCATTGATTATTATTAATAATGAGTGGATTTAACACTAATACCGTGACTTGCCGTAAGTTGAATTATGGTTTTAATTATTAAATAGTTATTTTGAATTGAAAAGCTAGATAAGAAATACTATATTTTTTTCAATATACAGGAGAAAAAATATATAGTATTTTAAATTTTGCACTCTTTCATTTCCAAAAGATTTTCTGTGTAGAGAACCGATATATATTATAAATCTTATTACTATTCGAAAATGTCTTAACTCTTGTAATCCTAGGATACCACTGAACTGCTGCTATAGTGATGCAGGTTGAATTTATAATGACTAGAGCCCGGATTTTGATGACCTAAAAATTTCGCAAAAAATGCCTTAAATAAAGTAAAAATATTGAATTAAAAAAAATTTTTTTTTTTGCTCTTTAAAATTATTATGAGTCATTTAAAAAATATAAAGCAATGCAATACTTGTTCTACGTTCATTAAAGTTTGAAAAATTTGTTTTATATCCTAAAATAAAAAAAGGAAAATATATTGACACCAAAACATTTTCATTTTGTATAGAAACTTTAATGAATATAACAACTTCCATCTCATAATATTACTAAATGTCAGAATTACATTGGATTATTAAATGTTTTTTTGATAATTTGAAATGTAAACGAGCGTCTCTTGTCTGAAAGTAAATTTTCATTCCTGCAGAAGCTTCTTTCAACGTCTACTGATGTTATAGGTGCGTACTTGAAAAAGACGGTCTCACTGACAATTCTTCAATTTGAAAAGATTTTGCTTCACCTGTTAATATTCTGTAGATTTTCTTCATTGTTTGAAAGCCAGTGTAATAATGAAAATTGATTAATAAAAATTGGAAAAAATTAACAAAGAACTTTAAAAAATGCAAAATTTAAAGAAAAATGCCCAATAAATCTAAAAAAATGCTCTAAAAGACAAAAAAAGGTCCAAAAATGCAAATGTCATCAAAATCCGGGCCTTAATAATGACTTACTGTTAGTAGTGAGGTAGCGTTTGACAAATTTTCGTGGAAATCTGAACAAATAAAAAAGTTTAAAAATTATTGAGATCTTGTAAGTAACTGAAGGTTAATTATGATCGAGAATAATTAAACAAATTAATCTGCTACCGCTTTTACGAAATAATTTAAATCGTCTGAAGAATCCGTTCAACTCAATTTTTTGTTTCAAAATTAGCTTTTAGCAACAACAAAAATTAAGTCTATGCAGAAAATAATTCTTTGGTGTCTGTGAATTGAGTTTTTCTGAAAATGTAGTTTTTGTTTCTAAGTTCAAAAGGCTAAAATTTAATCTATATTTGTGCAGAAATGAAAATAATGTTTTATCACCGAAAAAGGGAATTCGTAATTTTTGAATTAAATTTTTATCAAATTGTGTTATGATACTGTATACTTACTTTATGTACGAATTTAATTTTTTTTATAAAAATACTTAACGTAACATGCTTACTAATATAAAGTTAGCTTACAATATATACTAATTAATAACAGCTTAAAAACGAATGTTTTGCGAAAGCATCGGAAAAGACCAATGAAAAATATGAACAAAACAAAAAAAAAGGATAATAAAAACAATTATAACAATAAAAGGTACAAACTTCTCCGGTGGACCATTTTCACCGAACCTGAAAATATATTTGGAAAGCTGGATTGTATTGTTTTTTTCCAATGTTTTTTTTTTCTTCATTACTCTACATTTATTTTCTATATACTTGATTTATTTATTATGTCGCAGATAGAAAGTAATGCATTTTATTTCACATGTTAATGTTTTTTTTCTTGAAAATTTTTTTTATGTACGGTAAAGTGGGATCCTTTTCAAATTTGCATGGGAGCTTTTTTTTTTTTTTTGGATCATGAAAAAATATCAAAATTCAACAGATAATCTACCTATTACATCTTAAATGAACTTGCTAGTCGAATATAGATGGCAGCACCAATCTCACCTTCAGAATATTTATTTCAAAATTGTTATAAATTGCACAAAATATAAAAATACTGTCTTGTGCTGCCATCTTTTGAAGATTGTTGATATACGTCCATAAAACTTTGTGTTTTGATGATGTTTTTGATTTAACATATTGAAAGAAAAATACAGTTTTTTTTTTAAAAACACTTGAATATGTAAGAAGTGTTTGCTTTAATACTGGGGAAGAATAAAATGGCCTTTACATCTAATAGAATTAAAAGGCGCTATCTCTTCAAATAAATATTGTAATTTTAGTTTTCCGCAATACAAATTATTTTTCAACTTCGGCATTATTTATTTTTCTTTCGGACATTTTTATTGCGTGAGTTTAAATATCTAGTAAAACTTAATCATTTTAATTACATTTTTTTAATTTTTGAAAATTCGTCAAAAAACAGAAATTTTTTTTTATCAAAATGATTCAATTACTTGCATTTTTTTTAAATATTGCCACAAATAATGTTATAATATTTCTATATTAAGTCCAAAAATTATTTTATCATTTTGATGCATTTGAAAATGATTATGAAATATATTGAAGTATTTCTAAAAGATTCGGTGCGTCTGCGTAGTTTGTCAAACAAAGACCATTTACTAGGACGGCTTAAGACTGAACTATAATTGCAAACAATATATTTTTGTTTATAGTCTATTCATTTCAGAATGAATGATAATTGCTAAACTTTCTTCCTGGTTCGCCCCCTTCAACTCTGCAAACTTGGAAACATGAATGATATGCTCAACAATTTTATTTCTGGTGTTTTAGGATAAAGAAATTTAATATTGAAATTAAAAATATATATATTTGTTTAGGAAGCATATGTTTTATCAATAGTATATTAAAAAATGTAATACATATATATTTAAACTAAGTAATGATTCTTTGTTCAACGTTTCTAAAGCGTTAAATAATTATGAGATAGAAATTTTTGGAATACATATTTTTTTAAACATATTTGTTCTGAATTTCTATTTTCAGAATGGGCCATCACTACTTTAAGAAAGCGAGATGACAAATTTATTTCAAAGTTGCATGTTTTCATTTATTTATTTATTTTCGTAGAATTTATAATGAGTGTATGATGAGAAATTTTTATTTACAATTTTGCATAATTTTCTAACTAAAATTGGAGTGATGATACTTTGTTCAATATCACAAGCATTTTTATTTATTTATTTACTTACTTTTGAAAAAAGTTTTTCCAATTTCAAAAACTGCCAAAATTTTATACACGCGAGCGAACCGTGGTTTTTCCACAGGTTCCTGGAAAAATAAATAACTTAAACAAATTATTATAAACATCAATGCAATAAATTGCTGAAACAAAATAATTTCTAAAATTTTAACCCTGTATAAAAAGTACAAAAAGTCATTTTTTAAACAATCACATATATAAAGGCCCGTTTACATCTTACAAAGGTATATTTTTGGCAATTTCGGACCCTTCTTCAGCCAAAATAAACAAATGACAAACCCCCACTCGTGCTTACTAAAAAAAAGTACATAAAGAAGTCGAACCTTCTCCCCGGCTTTTTCTTTGACTTTGAATGTAGTAATTCGAATAAAATATATAACTTGGGCAAAAAAGTTACTTTTTTACTAATTTTATAAAATTTTGAGTAAAATTTACTTTAGGAATCGTGTGT